CGTTTACGCTTCATAAATATCGCAGGCGCATAAACACCATCTATCCGGCGACTAGCTAGAGGAGGTACAATGAATCGTTATATCCCGGCGCACTGACTTCCATCCTTCTTACATTACCGTAAAAATCAATGTAAAGTAAGAAATATAGGGCAATATAATTGTGAAAGATAAGAAGAGTGCAATTCCGTAAATTAGTTGTACCGTGATCACCCCAATGTAACTAGATACTGTTGTGCATATTACGGGAATTTGGAAAACAAAAGAATCAGAATGCACTTTAGAAGCACAGCTGCGCTTTTGCTGTTTCAGAAAATAGCTAGTCGTAGAAGAAGCGCTAGAAATTCTGTGATCGAATAAAAAAAGACTACCGATAATCATGTAGGGAGCAGTTTATGCGCGTGTAAATGAAAGAATAAAGGTGTGAAGCTGTTCGGAACTCGTTCCGCGTTTACACAGAAGGCATAAAAACCGACAACTTTTGTACATTTTCCTGTACACGCTTTCACAAAGGAACAAACTTGAGCGGATAGAATAAATGAGATCTACCCAATACAATTGTTAACGACGTCCTACACCCCATAACCGTTGACACTCACTACCTTGTGTTATCGGATCAAATAGCGCGAAAATCGAATGAAGTGGAAACGTATGAAATCATGACAGTCTCCATCGAACTCCTCTTTCTTAAGCATTTGATATGTTGTAAATGCTGCTTTTTTAATTAAGATTACTGTTGAACAGGTCGTGTTTGCGGGAAACGCTTAAGCAAGTACGTTCTAAATCGTGTAGACATTTCTTTTTCATCCGTAGGACTATAAAGCACTAGTAGGAAACAAATGGAACAAGGAATCTGTCTGATTCATTATTAAGTGATGAAAACTATACCGGAAAAAAAATTTGAAGGACCGTCGGCGTTTAAAGTGTAAAAAAGCCATAGGAAAAATCTGAATGTATTGACAGATCACCAGAAGAAACTTTTACACTGTTAATTTGGAATTTCTTTTTCTGCAGAAATAAGGAGCAATTGTCGATGTTTAAGTTACAAGTTACCTTCAAATAGAATGACTTCTTGTTAGATGAAGAAGCTTGGAATTATCGCAATTTATTCGTTATCAGTTGGGCGTAATCGGCATCTGGGTATAGACATCCATAGACGGTGGCTCTAGTGGGATTCGAAGTACTGGAAATGTCTCATCGAGACATCGCATGTTTTGTCGAGTGGTAATCGTCAGGAAGACAGCAGTCGACGGCAATACGCCTGTACGAATATTGCAGGTCGCTGTAACGGCAAAACGTAAAGGAATTTCTGCTTGTAATCTCATTTCAGGATTTTACCTTCAAGCTACCAATGAGCAAAAATAACCAGTAATCGATTTCTGGAAAATTTGTCGAACCAACGACTAAATGCCCAGAGGAACGGGTGTACGCGTTTGAGGAAAAGTAGAAGAATTGCGACCAAATTTGGTAATGACTTACTTAAGACCAATGGACATTTGTCGAGACCTTTACTGGACAGTGATATTTTTCATCGTGGCAGCCCGTTTTATTCGCTGAAACTGCGATTCATCAGACTGATACCGTCTTTACTACAATTTTTTGCATTACCAAATTGACTTATAGCTGATCTGATTAGCGCATAGCCAAAAATTTTGACTTTTCTTCAAGTCATATGTACAGGTGTTTGGTTGTAAGCTGTCTGCAGTGCATCTTACCTGCATTTAGTAGACAAATGATACCAAAACCCGTAGAAACGCAAACTGCTTCTGGAACAGACGAAACTAAAATCGATGAAGGTGCTCATCGGACAACGGAAACATCTGCAAACGATCGATGTTTCGAGAGCCACGGAACCAGGGATGATGAATCCGCTGTTTCCACCTACGGAAACAAAATCGACTCGGTGTGGGAAGAGTACCATTCACGATTCCGTCGCGATTTTCTCAACCATTGATTAATGTGGAAACCACGACAAGTACCTCCCAAAGAGTCCTTCACTCGTTGCAAAATGTGACGACTAAAGCAGCAAACCGCCTGCGACAGACCGATATTCGAACCAGCCCAACGAACGAACGAACGAACGAACAGAAGGCAATGACTGACGTCCAGATATGCGTTCGAAGCTACTTAGAGTTCGAAGACACACAAACAGGCAAGACAGGCACAGCGAGCCACCGATTGCACAAGGCAACGTTTCCTCGCCGACCGAACTAAAAGCTATGTATTAAATTACGCACACATCCGTTAGCAGCAAAGAAGTTGGATTACAACGCCACAACAGTCGATCGACCGGTGGTGAGTCCCGCCTGGATCAGGAGCAGACGCAGCTTTTGCGAGCAGTGGATTTGATTGCATGAAAAGAACCTCGATCGTTTTCCGAATTTTCCAAAAAAGACTATTTTTTAGTCAAAACCTTCATACCCAAGGAACGTGGAACAGCTGTTCGATCGCACTGGATATCAAAGATGATGAACGCTTTTGTCCGATCTCATCTGACTCTACGGCCTTCCGAGAAATCAAACGCCGAGCGAAGGTTACGTGCGGAACACCAATTGACCTCGTTCG